GAGGCGTCAGTATTTGAACCTGCCGGTTCGGTAATGTGTAGCATTCATAACTGGCGTAGATCGTCTCAGGCGTCGGTATTTGAAACTGCAATTTTGGTAATGCGCGACTTACAGAAGGATTACGTAGTTTTAGCATATATATAGCGATAGCCCCGAGTACAGTCCTGTAGGTTGGCCTCCCTCCGCTGTTCATTCGGTTCCCACAGTCCTGAAAAGTCGCATAGACCGAGGATTCGACACCCGCCTACAAATTTATGGTGTTCTGCAGTTTTCATAATTTTAACCAGCTAAAACATCTATCTAGCGACCACAAATACCTTTTTTTGGCCGAAAAATGAACCTACAGTACTGGAACTAGTTTTACGCCAAGAACAAGATGGCGGCATATGTTTTCGGTTGACATTGGAAATTGTCGATTTTATCGACCCTGGTGGGAAATCTTATGTAATTTTGCTTCCAGTTAAGGTATTTAGAATAGTTAGACGTATCGACCTGTTTATTTTTAACTGCAAAGCTGAATGCCTCTTAAATCGCCCAATACATTAGTGGTGGTGCGACTTGGTTTAGTGCGAGTTGGCATTGGTGCGAGTTAGCATTGGTGCAAGTTGGTATGGTACGAGTTGGTTTTGGTGCGAGTTGACCTGTGACCTTAATGAACTTGACACTCATAAAAGGAAAATGTTGACAAAATTTAGTTTATTGAAACACTTAAAATTCCTCTGAAGGATTAAAATGGTTACACTAACTGCTAAATACATATATAAACATACAAATTTTACGAGATTAGTAACCATAACTTGACATAGAGGAAGGCAGATATTCATTTCCTAAGAAACCTATGAATAAAAGAATACGCAATAACTGTGACACAAATTCAATTGAAGATGAAGAACATTTTCTATTGAATTGCCCAGAATGTAGCACACACAGGTAAAATTTCATCCCAAAAATGATGACACTACTTTCATCCAACAATAAAAATATACAGTTCACATATATACTCTCAAGCAAAGATCCTGGCATAATTATAAAACTTGCCAATTATATTTACACAACAAAAATAATTATTTAACATTTAAATACTAGTTAAGTCCTTTTGTATTGTTTTTTGTACACACAAAAATTTACAATTCTTACATATATCTTGTTATTATTTTAAAACTATTTTTTGCTGCACTTATCCTATGTAAATCTTTTTACACGGAGGCAATAAAGTTATTATTATTATTACAACAGCAAGTTGAATAGCGGATTTCAACCTAAGTCTGGATTTTGTTTAGGTTGTACTTTACACGTTATGAAATTGCAATAGGGATTGTCAATAATATTATATACGTTTCATACATTCCCAGAGGATGGAAATTACCGGGTATACATGATGTACATTGGACACATAAGTGTACAGTTAAATCTTGAGTTATGTCTGAATTTGTAATTTGGATAATCAACAGCCAAAGAAAAAAAAAAACAAGGATGAGATAACTTCTGGAAAATAAAAGTTTCTGCACATGTATGAATTTTTGTTCAAATGGTACACTCGTCATTGTTGTGGCTTTTCACCTTATTAGAAACTGTTCAAACTGGGTTTAAATTACAAAATGTTATTTCATGTGAGTTTTCTGAAATGGCAAATTCCAAATACAGGAACATACTTGTAATGCATAAATTATTTTCATCTTGTGAATGTCACAATTGTCACAGTTCTAACAATAACATTTTGTTTTCCATTCCAGAAATAAAAGAAAATTGCTGGCACTTCTTCCATACAAGTTCAGAACTCGGGACTCATTGTATGCAGATACAACTGAAAAGGATGAAGAATTAAAAAGAGTTCGACTGCGACAACAACTTGAAATGTATTATAAAAGTAAGTTCAACATTGGTCAGTGTTTTTAGTAATCTGTGGATTATAGACCTATCACACCTCAATTGCCTCAATTTTAACCAATATTAGATTATGCATCAGGCCAATCTGTCTAAGCATGGAGGTAAAAGACGAAAGAAGTTACAACTGGTTTAAGATCAAAGGTTCCATGATCATTTCCGCCGTTTACTCAGTAATTATAATGTTTGCTCGTTAATCTAGCAGCAAACAACAAATTAACTACAGATAAGGTGAATTAACATATTACAGACGTACTTCGGGAGCTCTCGAGAATATTAGAGAACCATTGGGCCATAGGTCATTGTTTAAAATGGCATTGCTGAAAAGTTGTGTTCGCGAAGACAAAGTCGATGATTGTTTCAATTCAGCAGAAGTAAATGAAATAAAAGATGTTGTGATTAAAGAGGATAAATGTCAGGAATGCAATAAAACAATAAAACTGCTATTTAAAAATCATGACGCCTGGATAATAGCAAAAGATGTACCCGGAAGTCATGCAACAAAACAACAACAGAAACTCAAAAACATTTCAAGTTTCCGTCGTCTACTGCATATGCAGAGTACTTCAGAGGGACATAGTTTTAACACCATTGCAAAGATCGTAAAGTTCCGGTAGGCTTCAGTTTAAACTAACACACAAGTGGGCCAGTTTTGGTGCAACCAATGCAAAAACAGCAGTTGAAATAACGAAAAAACGACATAACTAACTTACTGATAGATCGGCCGATTTTAAAAATTCAAACATGAATAAACTTTTCATAACAATGGCATTCTTTCTAGACGCATTGCGGAAGTAAAATTACTCCTATTCTCGTAAAATACCACATAGCAACCAAGAAAAAAAGACCCGCCCTTGGTTACAAAGACAGTGAACGCTAGAGTCAGAAATGATCATGGGTATCAATGGACATTTACACAGACAAGATAGGAAGATTAACTCGACTAGAAACAAAGGACATTTAATAGGCTTAAACCAGTTGTAACTCCTTCTGTCTGTTATCTCCATGGTCTACTGTAAGTTTCATTGTTGCTCATGTTACAGACCATTCTTTGATAAGATGAGCTCGCATTGGTTGACAGATTATCCTGTATCAATTTTTAATCAGATTGGTATCTCTGACTTGCATCTTACATGTGTACAATAGTTGCTTTTATAGTAGTGTAGGCATTTAAATAAATGTCTGTGGTGTGGTCAGAACAATCACCTTTTAATAATTCAGGATAAATACAATTCTTTGGATTATGTGTGTGTCTGTAAGAGCATGCTTGAAATAGAGTAAATAAAGTGTATGTTCAATGCACCAATCACCAAGTATGTTTCTTTCCTCTCAGCTAGAAAATATGAATCTGGACAGATGCCACCCCCTGGACAATTCAACAATGGCGAGACTGTTGCTGTAAACATCACATGAAGTTAAATACTAAAATTGATGTGTAATTCAAATGAACTCAGAATGCTGAATGACGTGATGAGAATATATGGTACTGCAGGGATTTACAACAAACTCCAAATACATAATGTATATGGTGTGGTTAGACAAGGGTATCTATACATACACCTTGAATATTGGTCTATGGTTAGGGTTTTACTTCAATTCCAGATATTTTTTGTGTGAACAATTTACTTTAATTTAAATTTGCAGTCCTAGATGATAATTTCACTGGTGTTTTGCAGACTGTCATGTGTCAATTGCTGCAGACCGTCATGTTCAGTATGGCTGAATAGAAAATCATTTTATTTCACCTTAAAGGGGCACCTTCCAGTTAAGCCTAATCTCACAACAAATTTATATTCTGGATTGAAATAACAATAGATAACAAAAGATAGATTAACATTGTAAACAACATAAACAATAGTGTCCCATGATTCTTTGGTGCAATCCATGGGATTGAGCGGTTCCCCTTTAAATTTGTATGCTAATTTCTTTTGTAATAAAACCTATAACAGTAACAGCAGCCAGACACTGTCAAGATTAAGGTAAAAACTGTCATTGATACAGGCAAGTGTGCTTGTGTTAGACCAGCTAGTCATCGTATCATGGCACCACTGCAGTCAATTGATTCAATATTCCCACCATGCAGTCATCCTTTCTATCACTTTTGAATCATATTCTGCTTGATATGCAGTGATTAACTTCCTTCATACAGATTACGATTGAAGTCTACTTTATTATGATGGAATATATTATTTACGAAAGTGTTACAATGTATATATTGAATATTGGTATATAAAAAGGTTTAATTTAACTTTACATATTGTCTTTGTTTTCTCATTTCAAATGGATAAAAATTGTGGTCATCGACATGATCACTAACTGAATGTTTATGGATAGAATATGTCAAATCAAAGGAACACATATTCTGTAAAATACAGCTGTATTTTATTTACAAATGTAGATTTTCATACATGGTATGTTTTTTATTAACAGGAAAAATTTGATGAGTTATCTTGGTGGTATTTTGACAATAACGGACATGACCAATGTTTTTTTGTCAAAGTTTCTAATATTTTAATCTATATAATATTGATATAATGCTCATCACCATTGAGGCAAATAAGTAAACACATGATATGTAAGAGGGCATTTGTTATGAAAACATAAACAAAAGTAAATCTTCTGTCTCGATTTCCAAGACCTGTAAAACCACTTTACCACATCTGTGTAGGTACTGCTGACATGGAGTCCTTCATCTGTCTAGGTACTGTTTACATGTAATCTTCTATTTGCCGAGGTGTTATTTAAATGTTACATCTTAATGCCTTATCACTGTGATGAGGTTCACTGGATGGCCACAATATACCTGGTGCAATTCACTGCACCACTATGTTATTCAGGACCACAGCATACGCTGTGTGATTCACTGGCGCACAACATACTGTGTGATTCACTGGAGCACAACATGCCCTGTGCGATTCACTGGACCACGACATACACTGTGCAATTCGCTGGTCCACAACACACACTGTGCGATTCATTGGACCACAACATACACTGTGCAATTCACTGGACCACAGCATACGCTGTGTGATTCACTGGAGCACAACATGCTCTGTGCGATTCACTGGACCACAACATCCACTGCGCGATTCACTGGACCACAACATACACTGCAATTCACTGAACCACAACATACACTGCAATTCACTAGACCACAACAAACACTGCAATTCTCTGAATCACAACATACACTGCAATTCTCTGAATCACAACATACACTGCAATTCTCTGAATCACAACATACACTGCAATTCTCTGAATCACAACATACACTGCAATTCTCTGAATCACAACAAACACTGCAATTCTCTGAATCACAACATACACTGCAATTCTCTGGATCACAACATACACTGCAATTCACTAGACCACAACAAACACTGCAATTCTCTGAATCACAACATACACTGCAATTCTCTGGATCACAACAAACACTGCAATTCTCTGAATCACAACATACACTGCAATTCTCTGGATCACAACATACACTGCAATTCTCTGAATCACAACATACACTGCAATTCTCTGGATCACAACATACACTGCAATTCTCTGAACCACAACATACACTGCAATTCTCTGAATCACAACATACACTGCAATTCTCTGGATCACAACATACACTGCAATTCACTAGACCACAACAAACACTGCAATTCTCTGAATCACAACATACACTGCAATTCTCTGGATCACAACATACACTGCAATTCTCTGGATCACAACAAACACTGCAATTCTCTGAATCACAACATACACTGCAATTCTCTGGATCACAACATACACTGTGCGATTCACTGGACCACAACATACACTGCAATTCACTGAACCACAACATACACTGCAATTCACTAGACCACAACAAACACTGCAATTCTCTGAATCACAACATACACTGCAATTCTCTGAATCACAACATACACTGCAATTCTCTGAATCACAACATACACTGCAATTCTCTGAATCACAACATACACTGCAATTCTCTGAATCACAACAAACACTGCAATTCTCTGAATCACAACATACACTGCAATTCTCTGGATCACAACATACACTGCAATTCACTAGACCACAACAAACACTGCAATTCTCTGAATCACAACATACACTGCAATTCTCTGGATCACAACATACACTGCAATTCTCTGGATCACAACATACACTGCAATTCTCTGAATCACAACATACACTG